GTTGCAACCCGTAAATAAAGAATGGTTTACACTGCCTCTCGATTTACTTGCACGGCACTGTTAAATAGGTACCCCTGCCCATTTGACTGCGCTCGACCTTTGTACTGCATGGTAGTACGAGCACGGATAAAATGGGTTTGGGTACCCATTCTAGGCGTTCCGTGTTAATAAGTTGAGTGTAGCTAATTGTTTATACCTTCTTGACAGCTTCAATTCGGAGACAAAGAGCAATGCTGATAATATTGACATCATGCAGAGGGATGCCATGTTTCGAAGTCACGTTATTGGCTACAGAGAGAAATGGCTTGGGTTCAGATGATTTGATCATATTTCTTGAAAAACTGTTTGAAATGTCTGCTATCATTCACGTCGACCTTTTCGAGTATTTTGTTTCGCTTGTCACTATTGGCCTAACGTGGCTTTGCAATGTTAAAAGTTGACAAAAATGTGAAATTTGTACCTACCTGAAAACAGTGAAGCATCACAGGATATAAGAAAGGCGAGAAGTCTAGGGTTTGAACTCGAAGTACGACAAGAAGAGGTTGTTATTTGCCTAAACTGGCAAATCCGTTCTGGTCGCAAGAATGTTTGGCAAAATGATTGATTTACACAACATTATTACAGATATAGATCACTACGACGAATACTGCTATAGGAAAAACTCAAAAGAAGTTGTGCTTCAACAAACCTGTAGAAATTTCAGTATCAAAAGGAAAACTTAGTTGCCATATTACACAACGTATCCAGACCGTTCTACAAATATGCTTTTCTTGGCCAATGGCAGAAGACTCGTCGATAATTTAATAGAATTTTTGGAAATAATGCTTCCGGCATTCACTTGATTCCACAAATGCGCTGAGAATGGCTTACTATATGAAAGAATATGATAGAGATGGACAGGAGAAGGAGAACATGGATTGGAAGTATACCTCAAAAAAAACATCATTTCAAAAAACACTACCTGTGCGAATGTTTTTATGCTGCAGAAAGAAGCTGGACGACTCGTATCAGAAAGTACTGGTCTGATATGTTTTTCGCAGTAACATTTACAATCAGGGCACTTAGTGGCATGTGAAGGAGATGTGGTGATGCTCGTTTGGTCACAATTGTTGGATATGGTGCAATTGGTTGTCATACTTGGTGTCACGAGTGCACTGGCCTTTTAATGATTGTTGGTGTTCCTTTATCAGCATGGTGGTGTTCTACGTCTGGTTAATATCGCATAGACGATGTTTTCATTATCCACACGAACTTAAAATGATCCGTCAAGATTTGCCCTCGACGCATAGCTAAGCGGGACAATGGCTAGAAGTGGTCCAACTATTACCAGACAAACCCTTACTGATCTGTAGCATTGCCGTTAGCAGAGTTCCATTTCCTCGATCGTCTTTCTGCACTACACAGCGTGCAATCTCATCTGTTTTCATTCTGTTGACAGTTTGTTGGTTGCATGTGGTTGATATCAAAAGGAAAACGCTCAACGCAGAGATTTCTTGCCTTGCCTAATGAGTCGTCCCCAACTGATGTTGCTTTGAATTCGGAGAAGTGGCTTTGACAACGTTATGAAAGCATGGGGAAAACTAATTACTTCACCTGTTGGAAAAGTCTTTGTGTTCTTAGGTTCACTACTTCTCCTAGCTTTGGAATTTATGGCGTTCTTGGCCTCGATGAAAGTTTTAACAGAAAGTGGTTAACAACGAAAGATTCACATTTCCGAAAATTCCTAAATGTTTATGAAGAAACTTTCACCTTAATATCGAAGTTAGCATAATTTTCCCGGAAAAAACTGATCACTCGAGCATTGAAATTCAGAAAATATACTCCCAAGTCGAAACTCTTGTTGAAAGTAACCAATATTTCTCTCAAGAAGGATATCGTGGTTATCCCAATATATATGGTGGGCACAGAAAGAAAGATCAAAATCGATAAACCAGAATGTTCCATCACTAGAAGGAGTTTATTTCACTCCCGGAGTATCAAAGGTTTGCCCAGGATGTAAAATTTTCGAAAGATAAAACTCATTTGACGGCTTCAAGGATGCTAGTAATTGTAAGAGTGATCCTGACTCAAACTTTCAAAGAAATATGGCGAGCATTCGAAAGGATCTCCACTCAGCGGATGCTCGTGCATTTGCTATGCCTTGCCTTTTATATACTTGAACGTATGCTCATGTACTTAATGAAACCATCAGGAACTGGTGTTGCTGGAATTTCAATTATTTTGATATCCTGGCTGTTTATTAATCACTTTGTAGTAATATTTTGTCTTATATGGGGATTCGGTGCTCTTATATTTGAACTATTTGGTCTAATGTACATCTGGAATGTCTCTTTGAACTCAATCTCTATGATTAATCTTGTTATGGCTTTGGGATTTTCTGTAGATTACAACGCACATGTCGCTTTCCACTTTGTTTCCTCCCGGCAACAACTCCCGAACTCCGTGTCATCGATGCTCTAAGCAAAGTAGGCGGAAGTGTTTTTTTAGGTGGGCTTAGCACATTCCTTGGAATGATGCCAACGGGATTTACCTCCTCCATGGTATTTCAGACATTTTTCAAAATGTTTGTTGGTATCGTTTTTCTTGGTTTACTTCATGGTTTGGTTATACTACCTGTGTACCTGTCTCTACTCGGAAAGCTCTTTAATCTTCGTGGAAGTAACCTTGACTTGTCAATCATAAAGTGGTTCAACATTACAAAAAGATACAAATCTAGTAGAAATACAAGCCGAGGTTTATCTGGATTACACGCAAAAACCAAGCAATCCAATCCGATTGCCATTGTGGGAATGAGTTGTCGTTTTCCAGGTGGGGCAAACTCGAAAGATGCATTTTGGGATATGTTGGTGGAAGGTCGATCTAGTATTGGCTCGTATCCAATGAACAGGCCAGACGCAAGGGAGTTCACAGATTCGTTTAACCCAGGGAAGCACACGCCAGGGAAGCATTACATCCTTACTGGCGCATTTCTTGAAAATATTACAGGATTTGATGCTCAGTTTTTTGGAATATCTCCAATCGAAAGCCGTTCAATGGATCCCCAACAGCGAATACTTCTTCAAGTTGTCTTTGAAGCGATTGAAGACGCCGGTATACCGCTTGAGGACTTACAACAATGTCGAACTGGCGTTTATGTCGGATCTATGTGCACGGAATATAGTGCACTTGTTTTTGATCCTTCGAATATTAGAAAGATTGATCAGTTCTCGTCAACTGGCTGCTCTATGTCAGTTATAGCCAACCGGATCTCTTTTTCGCTGAACCTAACTGGCCCTAGCATCGCGTTGGATACAGCTTGTTCCTCATCTTTGGTTGCTTTGGACATTGCATTTCAACACTTACAAACTGGCGAGTGTGACGCGGCTATAATTTGCGCCCCTAATATAATTCTTATTGGAAACCAATTTCACACGGCATGCTGCAGAACTGGGCTGCTGGCCCAAGATGGTCGTTGCAAATGTTTTGATATCAAAGGTGACGGCTATGGGAGAGGTGAAGGTGTAGCTGCGATCGTGATAAAACCAACCGAAACAGCCTTAGAGGATAGAGATAATATTTATGCAGAGGTCGTGGCTTGCGGAACAAATAATGATGGCCAAACCGCCATTCCAATGACAGCCCCTAGTGAGGTAACACAAACCGCTCTTTTTAGGAGAGTTCTTCAAGAATCAGGTCTGACCAAGGACGATATAACGTACGTGGAAGCACATGGCACCGGTACAGCCGTTGGAGATGTCGTCGAAATGGGATCGCTGTCAACAGTCTATGGCAATAGTGGTAAACGATTACTTCGTGTAGGATCAGTGAAATCAAACGTAAACCATACGGAGTCAACAGCAGGTTTAGCTGGACTAATCAAGACATGTCTGATGATAAAACATGCTCAATTTGTTCCTACTATTAATATTCAACAAGTTAAACCACAGCTCATGATGTCTCAGAGAAAAATGGTTGTTCAAGTTTCCAATGAGCCTTGGAAAACCGAGGATGATAAGCCGAGAACCGCCGCGGTATCTTCGTATGGATTCGGTGGTGCAAATGCTCATGCAATCATTAGGGAAGTAACAGCGAGGCCAACAACTATAATCCCAAGCAGAAATTCATCCAACAGAGTCCTAACATTGTCGGCAGCGTCGAAAGAATCATTGAGAGCAATGGCTAGAAAAGTGTCTTTATCGCTAAAGATAAAGCCTGATGACGACGAACTTCTTAAAGATAATATTTGTTATTCCTTCAACGAAAGGTACACAATTCAACTCCATCGCTTGGCGATTAGCTTCTATTCATTTCAAGATGCAGCAAAGGCATTGGATATGTTCTCTGATCAGGAGAATGGATGGGAAGAATTGGTGGCTACAGGGGTCGTCGCTAAGCCGCGTCGTGAAGCCGTATTCCTCTATGGTGGTCAAGGTGCACAGTGGTATGGTATGGCGAGAGAAATGCTAGTTCACGAGCCAAAATTCAAGCAAAGCATTGAAAAAATTGACGCACTCCTTAAACAATACCATGCCCCTGGTCCTTGATTTCTGAGCTCAAGAAACCTGAAGAAACGTCGCGAATTCATGAAAACCCAATTGGACAGACTGCTCTGTTCGCCATACATTTTGCTTTAACCAAGCTGCTAAAATCATGGGGTTCACCGTCCGCAGTTATTGGTCATAGTCTTGGAGAAATATCTGCAGCCTGGGCATCTGGAGCATTAAATTTGAATAAAGCTTTGCAGTTGGTTTTGTTTCGCTCTCAACTTCACGAGAAATGTTCACCAACAGGTTGTATGGCTGCCATTGGATGACAGAAGAGGAAGCTCGACATATGCTGCAAGATCTTCAACTGACAAATGAGATCGACGTTGCCGCCGTGAATAGCCCAGGTAATGTTGTGTTATCTGGTAGCCAAAGGTCAATGCAGCTGGTGGAAAACCATGTGTCCAGGGAAAGAAGAAATCTTTTGTGGAAGAAACTCACTACGACCCGAGCATACCATAGTAGAGAAATGGATGAAATAAAGCAAGCATTCCTTAATCTCACAAAGGAATTCAAAGTTTGTGAAACTTCAAGCCATTTGCCATTTTATTCAACTGTTACCGGCACCAAGTTGCCTGGTAGTCTCTTATCACTTGACCATTGGTGGCGTAACATCCGACAAGCGGTTTTACTGGAGCCCGTATTAAAAAAGATGTTTTCGGATGGTCACCGGTTCTTCATTGAAATAAACGCAGTACCTCAGCTTTCATACCATGTTCGTCAGACTTGGTCTCACAATCATCCATCAGATTCTCTACGTTCAAACGACGTCGTTGTAGTTCAAACTCTCCCAAAACAATCAGTTAAAAGCCAGCACTTATCATTTCTTCAAAATTGCGTGGCTAGTCTCTTCGTAAATGGTGTGCCCTTATCATGGAACAAAGTGCAAGGCTCTGGATCGAAAACATTTTTCCCCCGTCCAACATATCCTTGGCAAGAGACAAAGTATTGGTACCGCGAAGCGCGTCCACCAGAATGTGTTACATTTTACGATGAGCACAACACTAATGAAAAAATAAGGAAATCAACACATTCCATCCTCTTCTTGGTAAAGCAGTGCCGACGGAAACGTTCAGTGGTTTGCAGGCTTGGGAATCTGAAATCAATTTGCACGATGTTTCATATCTCCAGGATCACAAATTTCTCAATCTTCAAACCCCTTGATACCTGCCGCTGTTATATAGAGATGGTGTTGCCATGTCTTTGCACTTGTCCCACGGGCAGCACCAGATGTTCGTAACATCACTTTCGATAGTCTACTGTCTATATCCGAGAATGATTCGCACAAGATAAGAACACGTCTTCTACCTGAAAAATCCCTTGGTGAAAATAAATCATTTCAGATCACGCAGTGGAAAGGGACGAGAGAGAACTAACTGTCTCTCAAGGCTCCATTCAGCTTGGATGATGACAGATATGGATCGAAAGGTAAATATTTTATTAAAAAGATTTATAGCTATAACTTTTTTATAGATATATAACACTACCTTGTTTTGTTATTAAACAATTACTTGATAGCTTCCTGTGTTTGGATGGCCTGATCGATTGGAATGTTGTTTGAGCTAAGAAAAGCTCGCAAAATTGCTCGCCTTCGGCACGGTTCGCGCGGTTATCTCAACTCTCGTAACGTTCTCGCTTTTTATGTCAACGCAACTCAATTAAACAAAAGAAAACTGATTTGCCATTTCCAATTTGACATCATGCACGCCGGTTAATATAAAGGCTAATAAATCCAAGAATTATAATGTGAAAAAACTCTGATTGCAAAGTTTTTAAAATACCTTAAACTTTTGCTGTATTAAATACCGCAACCATGTTATAGGCACTTAATGCATGCAGTCATATAAATCCTTCCTGGTAGTGGTAGTCATTTATAACGTCAAAGCTGATAATGATGTGTTACGATTTTAATGCAGTTGACGTGCTCGAGTCGTATATGACTGATATGGCTACAGCCATGTACAACGAGAGCGAGTGGTATAATTGTTTTATAATATAGCTACATAATTTATAACTACCATTTGAGCGAAATAGACATTGCATAAAAATATAACTATACATTGGCAATTGATTTAATTTCAGTCAATCTTTCGCTGAATGATTTCGCTGAATGAAGCTTTTCGCTTTTTGTCAGTTCTATTTACCACTAAATATTTTATCTCATATTTTCTTGATTTGTTTTAAATATCTGGGAACTGAACATTCAAAAAGTGTTTTCATTTCCTCTTGATCTCTCTCAAGCAAAACTATCGGCCATTTTGTTTTGCTACTCATCGATTATGAGCTGTGAAGCCGGTATACGGCGTATTTGAAATAGTTTAAAACATTCCCGTTTTCTCATATCTAAAACTCTTAGCTGCGCCTCGCGGTTTAAATATCAACGCTCTCTCTCGTGTTTTAATTACTAAATAATGGCAGCTATTATTATTATAACTTCTGGGTTGCACCTAAACGACGACACAATCACTACAAGGCTTCGTGTTCAGGTAGAAAGCGTAGTGCTTATCTTCATTTAGCCTAACGCTTATTCAAATCTGTTTTATTTTAGAAGCCTCCCAAAAAGTAAATATCTACGATATTGAAATTCTTAAATCTTCAATGGAAGAATGGTCAAGGGCAGATTTTCTTAAAGCTCGTGAGACTGCGGGATTCGCATTCGGTCCTCAGTTTGATTTGATAGTGAGAGCGTGGTCCAGTGGCAACGAAGCCCTCTCTCTCATATGCCCGACTGAAGAAATCGTTAATACAGAAGAATATGTCTTGCATCCTTCGGTGATTGATGCATGTTTACAGACAACCATTCTGTTGGACATCAAATCTGTTGTTAAAGCTGTACCAAAGGAGATTAAGCGCATCAACATTTTGAGAAAGGCAACGTACACGCAGCAGTTTTATGCTTACGCAAAGATCGTAGAATCAGAAAAAGGAAAGGCGTTTAACATTTTCCTTTTGGATCAGTGTGCCCGTGCTTTGATGATTATTGACCAGTTTAGCATAGAAGAAATACTGTCAGATCGAGAGGAAGTGAAATTTGATAACGCAGTGTTCACATTTGGTTGGCAGCAGTTAGAGTCTGGTTCTTCAAAAGTTCGTGAGCATTATGTTTGGCTGATTCTGAGAGACCAAAGTAAGTTTGCTGAACGATTTGCACAGCATGTCCCGCAAAGCGGAAGTGTTGATTTTGTTGACAAACGAGATACCTCAGATGAATCTCGTGATGCATTTTCCCGATCGCTAGATAAAGTATTGGCTAAAATAGAAGCTAATCAAAAGATAATGGTGATCAATTTCTGGCCTGTAGATGGAAGCAAATTCAATATGGATGCGCGCAACTTTGATGCTGCTCATAGCTCTGCGTTTGAGAGCTGTCTTTTGATTTCTCAAGAAATTTTAAACAGAGAGGGGTATCTCAAACAGATTCAGCTTGTGTTTGTCACTTCAGGCGTGATTTCAATTCCTCAACTAGAACGAAGTGGTGAAGATACGTTCCCATGGTCTGGAACTGTATTTGGATTTAGAAGAACCTTCTCAGAAGAAATCACAGTCCCCACTGCTTCTGTGATTGATTTGCCGGTCAATCCTAGCGATGAAGATTTTCATGCAATGGCACACGACATTGAAAAAACATTGCTAGAAGAAGAGATTGTATATAGGAATGGTGAACGGTATGTCAATCGTATTCAAAAATTTGATCCTGACGGGTCCAAATGTACGAGAAGCGAATCACCTTTGGAGGAAGATGGAGCACTAAAGCCTGTAAAGATGGCGAGTTGGTCAGGTCAGTGGTTTCTACAGAAAGGGTCGAAAGAACGGATTGGAGAAATTGAAGTCTACTATGCCTGTCCTATCCTTCATAAGAATTGGAAAGATCTTAAACCAAACGATCTTATTTCAATTGCTGGAAAATGTGCAATGGACTGGAGGCAAACGATGATCCCTTTGTGTTTGGCATCTGTAAAATTGATAATCTTGGAAGTTATGTTGCTGCAGAGGAAACCTGCTTCACGGAGATAAAAGCCATTTTCACCCCTCAACAAGCTGTGTGCATTGGATTTCCCATGGCAATGTCTTACTACATTCTTACAAATCTTCTTTGTGAAATAGAAGGTGATAAGAAAGTTCTTGTATATCATCAAAGTGAGGAAGTATGCTTCATTTTTGCTTGCGTTGCCGCGTCTATTGGTATAAAATGCTGTGTGTCTTGTTCACAGTCAGTCTAGTAAAGATCGATTTGGAGAGTTATTGGTTGTAAGTGAAAATGAAGTAGCGGAAGCTGAACCTAAGGATACTAGCTGTAAAGATTTTGATGCTGTTTGCCTTCTGAGTAGAAGCAGTGCTTATGTCACAGGTGAAATACTGAAACATCTTAAACCAGGAGCTAGTGTTATTACATGTACCCTCGACGGAGCTGAAATTATGATGCTTAATCCATGGATTTACGTGAAAGATGTCCACTTTATTTTGACTAGTTTACAAGACATTACTAAGAGTTCTACCGATTTTTCTAAGCTATTAGATTCGTGTTATTCAGTTTTGAAATCGAAAGGGCTTTGGAGCAAGCTTCTAGATATAACTCAAAAAGCATCCAGCATTTACGATGTTATGCAACGTGGCGATGAATCCAATAACCGATGCCTACCTGAAGTTGAGCGAAAAGGGAACTTTAGTTTAAACATAATTTCTGTGAAGCCAGAGACTGTTCCTGGGCAGGTTGATTTCTATAATCTACCACTTGACATCAATGGTTTGAAAGATGATCGAACTTATCTTGTCATTGGCGGCGTTCGAGGTTTTGGGTTCCAAATCGCAAGATGGATGGTTGAAAATGGGGCAAAAACAGTCGTGTGTACAGCGCGTTCACAACCAAGTGATGAAAAGATTTCGGAGGTTCAACAATTGGAGAAGAAAACTGGATCTCGTATCCTTCTACGTCAAGCAGACGTAACATCTTGGGAAGAAATGAATACAGTTAAAAACGAACTCGAAAGTCTACCTGATGTAGCTGGAATCGTTTTTACCGCTATGGTATTGGCCGACCAGTTTCTCAAGAAAGCCGATTTAAAGACATGCAGAAATGTTGTAGGGACAAAGGTGAAAGGTAAGTCTTTTCATTGCATGGCAATTCACGCTATTGAATTGTACACTAGATCGACCATTTCACTTTTCAATACACGATCTCTGGTAGCGTTATTTCGACTTCTCCTAAACTCCCACAAGTGTTTCTATAACTATATAGAAACACAGGAAAAAAAGTTTCGTATTTCTTAATCTAATATAATAACTCAATAAAAAGATTTTGTACAAATGTTATAATTCGATTACAAATTCTCATTACATCGCTTCGTTTGTCAAGTTGGGCGGGAAAATTCCCGTGTATAGAAACACGCTTCTCGACGAATCGGCACGCGCGTACTACAAATGCTATGTTATAATTCCATTTCTAATTAAAAAAATGCAATCTTCCTTTTTTTCAATAGGGAGTGTAATCCTTCACCAACTCAGTCTTACGATGGATCTAGATTTCTTCATTATGTTTTCCTCAATATCCGGAGTTCTTGGTAATGTTGGCCAAGCATCTTACGCTGCAGCTAACACATTTTTAGACCAACTATGTGAATATCGTCGAAACAAGCTTGGCCTGCCTGCTTTGTCTATTAACTGGGGACCGATTAGTGGTGCTGGAGTACTGGAAAGAAATGCGGATATCACATCAGTCCTGGAAACATACGGATTTTTTCCTCTTCACTATACGCAAGGTATATTCAGGATAGCAAATTGAAATACATTCTTGCAAAACTCCTCGCAACTTCAAATCAAGAAAATAATCCCTTAAGCTAGCCAGATTATGAAATTACTCAGTAGGACATTATTGCATTGCATGGCAGCCAATCCTTTGGCACGAAAATGTTGTCATAACATTGAAGTAACATTGTATTGTTAATAAGTACACATAACTATTCGCCTATTTTGGCACTGATTTTTCAGGACTAAATCTTGCAAAACTTGTTTTTCAGCAACTGAGTTTATGGAACGCATCATTCTTAAAAATTTTAACGAAGCTCAAGTTTGCATATCTCCTGTGAATTGGCAAGTTTATCTTAGAAGTCATACTTCTCCGAGGTTCCAATGGAAACGAGAAGAAACGCTGCTAGCCGTGGATAATGTCATGACATTGGAGAGCCTAGCACTGCTACCGTTGGATTTGAGAATTCAAAATGTTCAAGATTTTATTAGGCGTTTGCTGAGTTCGTGGTCAGGTAGTGAGGCTTCTGAAGTGGACTTAAACCTCGGCCTGTACAAGTTTGGAATCGATTCAATTGCTGCAACAAACATGAAACATCGAATTGAAAACAACATTGGGGCTAAATTTGAGGTAAGCTTTTTCAGTAATTTTCTGTATATTTTCTGTAATTAATCAACGAACCAGTAAAAATCCTTTAAAATGCTCAAAAGTGCATTTCTTTTCTCGTGTGTGAAACAATGCACTTATCAGTTATACGACGGAAAATTGCCATGGTTTGAAGTTGAATGGTAATAACATGCAGCTTCGTACATGCACTCGTGTGTAAGATTATGATCTTCTTCCTTCAAATACGAGCTCATAACACTCATCCTTCTTTTTCTTAAGCTAATTTCTCAAATAAACTCGCGGAAATTTGTTTTCCATAGTTTTCCTCAAAGTTTTTTTCTCTATTTTGCATGGTTGTTACAGAAATTTGCACTGTTACTGAAAATTTCACTGATATAAACATTTTGGGTAAAGTTGTCGAAATCAGCAACTTTCGTATAAGTTATAGAGGAAAGCTATAAAGATTTGATCTCTTTTAGTTGTATTTTTAAGAAAAATTCATGGATAGATTAAATTTAAAAGTCAGTAAATTATTTTGAAATCTTTCTAAAATATGCAATAAATGCAAGATAGAAATATTTTTAATTGAGCTTTTTTGAACTGAAGCGCGCAATATTTACAGTAGACACTTAAAAATTATGAAACGATTGCGTTTACGAACATTTAGCGAAATATAAGTTAGGGTAATGTTCAAATGTTCCTAAAAGCGAGCAATGCTTCTCTCGTCATTCCCTTCTTTTAAGTTATCGTAAAAACTGTATGCCATTATAATTATGCATTGCAAATTGGTGATTTTCTTCAACATATAGGCATATTATTTCATCCAACCAAATGTGAATGGTCTAAAAATCGTCAATGATATTCTGGAACAAATAGAAAACGTAGAATCGACGAGTGCGGACAATGAATCCTCGAAAGAAATAAAGCAAAGGAAACGCAGTTTGTCAAGTAACCATAAGGAAAAAAATAAAATTGTTTTACCTGAAATTAACAACAATGACACCGTTAAGATTGAAAGAATTAACCATGGGCTTGAGCTGCAGAACATAAATATTCCTTCAATCCCAGAGAAAGTTATTCCAATTTATACTCCTGATAACGTATTTGTTAAAGTTTTTATGACACACTCCAGCGAAAAGTCGGCACTTGGACTAGCGTCATTCGCGCAAGGTTTCCAAAAACAGGTAACGATTTTAAATAACTTTGTCCGCTGGGAGGGTTTTTTAAATCAGATTTATAAAATATATTTGGTCAAAAAACAAATTATTAACAACTATTGGATGAGGCTGAGCATGATATCAAGTATTATTCACACCGAGGTCAAAGTTATCGGCCGAAGAAAAGCTAATAATTGTTTAATGTCGTTGTAGGTGACCAGACAGTGAGAATTGTGTTTAGGCTCTTAGCCAATCAAAATCTAGCTAGGACCAAATAATACATAATAATAATAGTAATATCAACCAATAATAATATCAATTAAAAGCTTATGCTGGGTTTGACGAAAAACAGTAGAAAACTGCAAATCACCAGGTATTTTTATGCCGTGGTTGATAGAAAAAAATTACCTGGTTAAAAAACACTTTACTGCAGTAAGTTACGAAATATTACATAAAGGCAGTGTTTGAATCTATCAATATGTATAAAAAATGCAAGTTTGGAGGATATACGCAATTATTATATGTACATATCAATTGATTCTCCATCAATTCACAAATTAAATTATTTCATGCTTCACCTTGTGTACAGTGACGGCATTCGTTCATCAGTTATTATTTTTTCAGACACATGTTGCATTATATGGTATTGGAGTGAACGATACGTCATTTGAGAGTAGTGAATATGGATCAGTGTTAACACTGGCTCGAAGATATGTAGGTTTAATAAAAGAAATCCAGCCTGAAGGTCCATTTTATCTTGGTAAGAACTCATTTTATTTTTTAACTCTGTAAATGAAGCAATCTGATTGGCTGAGAAGCGTTTCACAGCGGGCCGGAATTTTGCATCCGGCCCGCTGCAAAATGCATCCGGCCCGCTGTGAAAAATGCAAGCAAAACGACAAAACCAAAGCAACGTACGGCTAAAATGTGTGAAAACTTTTCTGGAAAAGGCTAAATGAATGTTAAAAATAAAAAACATACCCGAAAAACTTCTTTTTTTTATTTTTTACGCTTTTTTTCGCTTGTCAATACGTTGTTTTTTTAATCGATTCGCCGTGATTTAGTTGCTATGGTAACAATATTTGCCATTTCATTGGGTGTTTCCCGACTAGGATATCCTTATAAGAAGTTGTTGACGTATTAAAATTCTAAAATAGCTTGCAGAATTTAAAATTTTTATAGTTTATTCATTAAATTTGTTGTATTTTTTGTGTTTTATAAAGTCAAAAATATCAAGGTTCTCAAAAACATCCCTCGGCCTACGGCCTCGGGCCGTTTTCGAGACCTCCGGCACATTTTTTTGCATCCGGACCTCGCAGCCGGTAAATAACATATAAATATATATATATATATATATATATATATATATATATATATATATATATATATATATATATATATATATATATATATATATATATATATATTATATATACACCCATTTGCAAAAACGTTGGCCGCAGATAGATAGATAGATAGATACTCAAAATCTAATTAGAATTGCATATGTTGTGTAATATGATTGAAATCCCATGCAAATCTAGTCATATGCATTTCTAATTAGACTTCGAGTATCTATCTATCTATCTATCTGCGGCCAACGTTTTTGCAAATGGGTGTATATATATATATATATATATATATATATATATATATATATATATATATATATATATATATATATATATATATATATATATATATATATATATATATATATATATATATATATATATATATATATATATATATATATATATATATATATATATATTTATATAAGGATTAAGAGATAAAACTTCAACGGACATACTTTTAAAAACCATTTATTGAAAAGTTGTTAAAAACTGGCTACCAGACGTTTCGCTATTTACAGCTTCATCAGTGGATTAAAAGATTTTATCACTATCGTCCTCTATTTATACAAAATCGGAAAGACGTTCGATACGAAAGATCATGAAGATTTTTAGAAGTAATGGCTATCCTAAACGATTTTTAACATCGGTTGTAAGACGTATTACAAGAGAGGAACATAATAGCAAGGAAAAGAATACGGATACCATTTATCTGAAATTACCATTTGTCAATGAGCAACTTAAGCGCAGGGCGCTATCAGTGATTCGTAATACCGGAATTAGCAACATCAAAGTCTCGTTTGTTGGTGGTTTGCCATTGGCCAGGGTTTTTGCACCGCCCAGGGAAGGTCTAAATTGTAAGCAGGATTGCGAGACATGTAGGATGGCATTGAAAGAAAATCAGTGTCTTAGGAAAAATGTTGTATATCGGATTTTCTGTGGCCATTGTGATCTTAAGTACATAGGAGAAACGGGTCGTACAGTGGGATCTAGAATAAAGGAACATTTAAAGATGAGCAAACAAACAGTATATTTACATTTAAAATCACATGATGTTAACCCTCAGGAGGGCGTTCATATTACATGGGAAATTATGCATAATAGCGTTAGGCATTATAATGAACGTAAGATAATAGAGGCTATTGAAATTCAAAAATGCTCTCAGCATCTGATGAACGGTTGTATAGGTAGGATTATCAGTATTTAGTTATCAATGGATTTTGTAATTGGCTTCACTTGTATAAATAGAGGACGATAGTGATAAAATCTTTTAATCCACTGATGAAGCTGTAAATAGCGAAACGTCTGGTAGCCAGTTTTTAACAACTTTTCAATAAATGGTTTTTAAAAGTATGTCCGTTGAAGTTTTATCTTTTAATCCTTATATTATTACCGGACATGGAATTTTCATCAAATAGATCATATATAATTATATATATATATATATAATATATATATATAATATATATATATATATTATATATATATATATATATATATATAATATATATATTATATAATAAATATATATATATATATATATATATTATATATATATATATATATATTATATATATATATATATATATATATATTGTCACCAACTGGATAAAAAATTAAAAAAAATTCACTATCGTGTCATTCAAGAGTGGTCTTTTAGTGAAAAATATCTTTCATGTATATCAGATACATCAGTTATACTCAATTGATGTTTGCTCATGCCCATGATTTTTGAAACACATTTTCAGCTGGCTACTCGTTCGGCGGTTTGTTGGCTTACGAAATGGCAAGTGAACTGAAAAGAGATGGTGAAACTGTTGCGATGGTGTTCATGGTGGATACGTTCGCATGGCACCCTAAAGCCCTGACAAACGGCAAAGAATTCATGAGAAAAATCACAGAGTTAACCTTGAAGTCAACGGAAAAATATGTGGTAAAGAAAAATATTAATTTTCCTATATTACTCAACCGGTAGCGTAGTACGGGGGAAATAGTTATTTTTATTCTTGTTTTTCAATTTGTTTCTATGTTTGGCAAAGTAGACTTTGTGTTTCGGAAACTTCCGTCAGATTTTCCGCTTTGAATTAATGTTGAGACTAGAAAAATTTTAAGTAAAATATTTAGCAGAACATCCTAAAATTGTTAACATGGGAAAACTTTGTTAATTAATATTTTTAATAAGTTATAATTTTTGCAAAATTTGACAATTCTGCCGACGATAGTCGATATACAATTTTTCAATCTTTTACAAAAAAAAATTTTTCCAATTTTGCCAATTTGGGATGATTTTTTTAATGTTCAACCCGGTGACGGATGGGTTTTTTTGTTTAAAAATTGAGTTTCATACTGGTTTTCTGTATACTTCGAGAATCCAAGCCCTAAATATATTTCTCGATTGGTTTCTTTATTTCAATTAATGAGTGCGTATGTTGTTTACTTAAGAATTAAAAAACGAGTCGCGTGCCTTTATGGTGTAATAATGCACGATGGGGAATGTTGGGAGAATACGAGAGAAGCTTGTAAAACACGAGGCGTACCGAGTGTTTTACAAGCTTCTCGAGTATTCTTCCAACATTTCCCCGAGTGCATTATTACACCATAAAGGCACGCGACGAGCTTTTTTAATTCTTTTATAATAAAAGAAGAAATTATAGGGCAACAAAAAATTTATTTATATGATCAATAATGGAATTCTCCTTACATGTTATTTAAGATGTTGCTTAGCAACAAAAACTTCAAAAGCCAGAAGCGTGCATTATGGCCTCACAATGCACGCGCAGTAGCCAATCAAATTGCTCATTATATCATACTTATATTACAATGAGAATTCACAATGTTTACTCAGGATGAGTGAGTTTTGAACACTACAAGAAATATTTGTAAACCAATGATTTACCTTGGTCAAAAAAAAATGAATAGATAACCACTTCAATTTTTTGTTTTTTCTCCGTCGTAAATAATTACGCACGATTGGGCTAACAGAAAATGCTCATACATGTTACGTTGTATAAATTCCTTCTCAGACAAGACGACTGCTCGAAAAAATTGCCTTCGTCGAAATGGGTAAAAGTGAACATGACGTCAATGATTATTACGAGGAATTACAAGATCAGGAAAAGGTTATCGCTGTTTTGGAGAGTGAAGCTGCTGAAAAGAATATTGATCTTCGTTTGAAAGACAGAATTGAGACTACTAAGTACGAAGTCAAATCTGCTGCTGAAGCTCATTTAGATTGGCAGCCTTCTAAGGTATATTACATTCACTTTATTATGGTATTTTATTCACTAGGAGGAATTGCTCGGCACTTACATGGCAGCGACCGCTCTTCTTGTCTTTTGGCAATAATTATTAAATACTGAAGAGTGTGTACCGAAGGGACCGATGAATTATAATTTTTTTTTTATTATTTTAAGGTATCCTATGACGGGGTATTGACATTCGTTTGCTGTGACGAGACTAAGTCGTTCTCCCTAAGCAAGCCAGAGATATGGAAAACGTTAGTTGAAAGAATAGATTTCCTTTACGCGCCTGGAAGTCATCTAAAAGTACGAGATGGAATTAGTGGAGAAAATTGTGGATCCATGATAATGACAACAGCAGCAATGAGCTATCTTTCAAAATCTCAACACCACAATTTCCTGGCTGTAAGAACAAGACGTCAAGAGAAATTGGTGGAATTTCTAAAGCAAGGAATACAAATCTGGATGCTTTCAAGTAAACAAAATATTACTATAGCGTAACGTGCTTCAGAAGAAATATAGTTGCGAGAGCATCGGCAATCAAGCTGGGGAATCCTATTCTTAATTATAGCCCCATTTTGAAACCATTTTTAAAGAGCCTTTTGTTCTGTCACTTTTAGCGTGACTTCGAGCCTTGGGCTGAAAAATGGTAACTTGATGATAGCTTGACTTGGATTTTTACACAACTTTTACACCCTTAAAATTCAAAAAATTTATGTTAGGAAAAATTTTTAAATGCCGCACATCGTTAATCGTTAATTTATTTGTTGTGTATGTAGGTTTCTCAAAATGGGTGAAAGGCACTCTCCAGTTAAATTCGGAAGAAACAGAGTTTAATTTTGAATATAAATTGTTAGGATTTTATACAGTACGAAAATTCTTTGTCAAAGGTAAGCCCCAGATTACAAATAACAACCCTAAATAAATAGACACCTTTTGAGTCAATATAAACTTTTCATCTGATGAGAAAAAAATTAGTCTATCTTGAAAATTGTCGATAAAAGTAGAGGTCGGGTTTCGGTTCATTAAAATACAGCTGCAGTTACAAAAAGAACGACATAGTCGAAGCCGGGTGCCATTGTGTTCATGGGATAGCGCCTCAACCCCCCCCCCCCACACGCTGTATAGCTTGAAAATCCCAAGATGTCCCTCTTTTATCCGCAAAGTAACCCTCCTTTGAGGCTTCAATTATGCCCTCTTTGCGGCGTTCATTATTATGTGTAGTAATAATTGGTCAAAGATTTTTTTTAATGCTGTCCTGTTACCCTCATTAGATCAGAACATGAACAAAAGGCAATTTTTAGGTTAATAGAGTATTGCATGCATATTCATATGATTACTTTACCTTTTAAGATTTGACAAACATCATGCCTGGTAGGCATGTTGATGAAATCCGTAAGCGCCATGGCAACAATCCTTTCATTGATTTCCTCACTTGTATGCTGACCAAAAACGGCGGGATTTGGACGTTTCGTTCGTTAGATTTTCAGCGGCTCAAAATGCTGGTAGATGCTTTGGAAGCTCTTTTTGGAATACCGTTCGTGCAGTGACGGGGACTATAAAGGATTACGTTAAATCATTATAATTTCATATATAAGGTTAATAAGCAGTGTATTGTTTACATTGGCATTTTTATTAAAATAACTCATACTCATGGATTTGTTGCAATGTAGTTTACAAAGTCTAGGAACTTATTAAGAAACTTAATTGTTCTAGGCAAAGTAAGATAAATCTTAGTAAAGCGTAGGACATAAATCCATGCAACCTATATTACAATATTACTTTTTTATATATCGCAAACAATAAATTTTTTTCTCTGCGTAAAAATATGTTCTATTTTGTGTGCGTGATCTTGCACGGAAAAAAAACACGTAAACGCCTTCGATTAACTTCGTTAGTTTGTTACAAACGGTTGTTGTTGGTTAGTTGGCGTATAAACGCTTCAAATGTTCGCACAAATGATTTTTGAAAACGGTCGTAACTTGAAAGCACCTGTTCCAAAACATGAAAAACCTTATACAGCAGTAAGCATTATAAAGTTTAGAGTTTTATTAAAAACAAATTTCAATGGTAGCTACGTAGGAAGTTGCATTGCATATGTAGAATTACAAAAGTTACAAACGTGATATACATTCAAAACTATTATTATTATTATTATTATTATTATTATTATTATTATATTGTGTAATGTGAAATCTAGTTTAGCCCTTTGTAAAATATGTAACCTCAAGTAGCCAATTGTAAGTTACCTTTTAAGCGAGATTTGCAATTGTATTTTTAAAAAATTGAATAAAAGTTTTCATTATTATTATTATTATTATTATTATTATTATTATTATTATTATTATGTATTAAAATGTATCGAAATTTTGTCACTCAGAGCTGACAAGAATGTGGTGTGCATCTCAAACAAATTTACCTAGAAATATATTCAATTTTACCATACGGTATATCAACAATTCACTTCCTACACGTCAGAATCTTGCAAGATGGGGATTATCGGCAACTTCAGATTGTTCAAACTGTTTATCTCCAGAAACACTACTACATGTAGTGGCGGGTTGTAAATCGTATCTCGAACGGTTCACGTGGAGACATGACTCCATCTTAAACCTCCTCGCAGCCAACTTACAAACCATCAACGGCGCGACTCTCTTTGCCGATCTACCAAATTACAAGAGCCCATCAATCATCACTGGAAACTCCCACCGTCCTGACTTGCTTCTATTAACCTCTAAAGAATGTCTCTATATTGTTGAACTAACTGTTGGTTTTGAATCAAATCTTGAAAATAATGTTAAGCGCAAAAAATGCAAATACTTAGAATTAATTAGAGAACAACGCAAACATTACCAAGCAGTAAAATTTATTAATCTATCAATTAGCTCTCTTGGTGTCTTTTCAAAAGAATGTTCGACATTCTTAGAAATGCTTAAAGATATTGGCTTTGAAAGGAACCACCATGAATACCTTATTAAACGAATGACGACGATTGCAATTCGAACAACCTATTACATATTTTGTTGCCGGAATAAAGATTGGTCCAATCCTGAACTTTTAACATTTTGACCTATATTTTATAACGTTTTTATAGATGATGTATTGTAGTTAATTGTAAAATTGTAGTTATTGATTGATTCAAGTAGCCGATTGTAAATTACCTTATATAAGTGAGATTTACAATTGTATATACCCTAAAAATTTATTAATAAAGTTTTCATTATTATTACTCCGGCGTCAGCGACGGAGTTGAAAATTCGCCCCGGTTTTGTTTTGTTTTTGTTTTTGTTTTTGTTTTTTTTTTATTTTTCGTCGTCGCATGTCTGAAATGGCGCGAAATATTCTAGTATTCAAAATGTGTATGTGACCGTATTTATCTACGTCCCAGTCTTATCTCCCAAGAGTTGTGGTGCACAGCTTTGGCTAATTTTCCAATGCGCGATTCGATTTCGCTCGCATGATACGGCAATTCCTCCAAGAGGAACAAATAAACCGTTCTTTTCATGCTGCTCGATTAAGTTTAGATTGAATCGGGGTAAGAATATATTTAATACATGTAGATTCCGGTCCTATTTTAATAATATCGCTGCTATTAATATATTTAGCCGTTTAACAAGATGATGTGGTCGTGTATGGGCGTGTTGACCCGCGTGTAGTTTGCACAGGATCGAAGATTTAATATAACTATATAAGCGCGAATTCCAAAGGCAAAGCGTAAGACGAAGCGAATGTATCATGCGGTTTATTTACATTTTTTAACAATTGAACTTCTATACTGCGATGTGCTTCTGAATTTCGCGATCGAACATTTAGGTTCGCAGGGCATCTAAATGCGAATATGAACAATACGCGAACTGTATTGTTTATGTTCAGAAGCTCTATATTGAAGACTGGCACGTTAACGAGTTAACGCCAGAGCGGCGTTATTTATCAATCTTTATACACGGGATAAAAACATCAGTGTTTACAGGTATATACAACTGATATAACATGCAACTCTGCTATCCTTGTTTGTCCTGTTTCAGACTGAGAATAAGAACAAATTATCTAGTTATGATAAGTACAAGTAATATGAGAAGCTCCCTAAAAAGTTAAAAATCTATACTAGCTAAAAGTTAAGATTGAAAGTGGTCACAAATAAGTGACCTAAACTCTGTAAATTTTTTTGCCAACCTATTTTCTATTGGGAGACGGTTAGAAATATTTTCTCCAGCAAAGCGAAAGCTTTAAATTGTTTTGCAACTTGAAGTTTTACCACAGGGTGCCCGCTTCAGCGTTTGTTATTAAAATATCGCTGTAAAAACCAATGCTGCAAAAATGACAAGAAACGACTTGCCGTTGAATTTAAAAATATATTCGACGAGAAAAATAACTTTCAGTTGAATTTAAAAAGTAAATTCCAAGGTAAATTTGACAACAGTCTACAAGAATTGCATAAGAAAAAATGAAGGCAACTTTGTTATAAACGTACATGAAGTACTTCAGCGTGGAGCCTTAAGCACTGATGTGTTGGACCGCGGGCGCAACAATTATAGGGAGAGAGAGGAAAATAATAAAGGGATGAAACATCAGAATTTGCTTTGTTTCAATGCCTTTTAAAATACATTAATGAACTACAATTATTAGAACAATTGAGCGAAATTTTTACAGTAGTAATCCTTCAAAGGTCGTATAAGTCAAAACAACGGAAATGTTTCTTTGTACATGTAATTTTGCTGTAAAAATATTCCCCTTATTTTCACGATATGTGTTCCGCAAGTAGCCAGGAAACTACGTCATCATCGGATCATCGCCAACTGTTCGGAATACTACGAGAGCTTGCGAGCATTTAACGAAAATCATAACAAAAAATTTGGCGGGAAAGTTCTTCGATATTACCACTGAGCTATATAATAATTCCTGGAGGACCGGCTCCTGATAAGAAAGCAGTGAACTCAATACAACTGGAACGATAACTCCAGTGATAAAGTCTCTAAAATTCTGCGATTGGCTGAAGCCAAATTGAGGAGTCTCGCCAAGCCTCGAGTGCAATGCTTGCGCGCGGACGAAGGTCGAAGCGTGGGGAATGATGTTCGAACAGTGGTTGTTTATGGCGGTTTTGAAAGTTATTTTTCTGTTAAAATTTACCAGTTTGGAATCTAATTTATCCTTTAATATTTGAAGCAAAACTGAAGTCAAAAACCAAGATAGGGAAAGCCGTTTAGATTCTGTGTTGATGGCTTGATAAAGGCAAAGGCGATAAGAAGAGAAAATTGTTCAAGAAATATGGTTGCTTTGGAATTGTAATAATTTTGTTAACGATATACCGACAATCGTGTTTATTAACAAACAGGTATTTAATTGCATTTTTTTTAACAAATTCTTATGACTTAGCAACTGATATTTAAACAATATTATATTGTAAACTTTATTGATTTCTAAAAAGAATCATCTTCGTTAACTGGTGCCTGACGCTCGGATTTCCATTAACCACCGCATTGTTGTATCGCTTTACGTACGTGAAAAGTCTCAAGGTAAAATACCTTTCTGCCGTTAACTTGACAAAGGATGACCGGTGATTTTCTTCTAATAAAATGTCTTCGGATGCCTGTTCGTGGTCTTGAAAGATTTGACGGCTTGAATCCATTAAAAAATGGTTGCAAACTTTCAGAACCAGTTTTTGGTTTAGCTTGCCTTCTCTCGAAATCTGGAAGCCATCTTTGCAGACGTATACTTTGAAAATTTTTTCTGAAAATTCTATTACTCTGTAAACAGACTCTGATGATATTTGCAGACCACCGTTGTTCACAAATAATGTGAATGCTGATGCAGATGCAACTTCATTATGTGGCATTGCGCAGTAATCATGGTCAGGCGTTGCAGGGTTGAAGTGGGAAAGTAGGCATCTCTTGCATGATTCACACGATAGTTTCGGAAGCAGTTTGCGCACGATGTAACCACCAATGTAAAAAAGGACGTTGGAGAGAAACTCAGATGTACTTGGTAAATCCAAGTGACTGCAAAGTAGATCTTCCTCAGGACTCCATTCAAGTTGCGCTGGGTTTTCTGTTGGTGTTTCTTTTAAAGGTGATTTGTGTTTTCGTGTGTGAAAGAATGGAATGATTGTTGTTGAGGAGTCTGAAAATGTCTGACAATTGGCACTTTTTGAGGCAGTTATAGTGTTCCTCAACAGCATTTTCCTCATTGCATACTTCAGTTGCATAGAATTCGGATTGTTATTCCATCCACCATGAGCTCTTATGCATGAAAAAAGGAGTTCTATGTGATCTTGTGAATACTTGTATGTAAGGAAGTATTTGAAAGGATTTCCACCACTAAACATTTCTGTTGTCATATTACTTGTTTATTTAATTGTGGTGACAAAGCCAATGATAAATGTCTTTCTTTGATGTTTTGACAAAAGCCCATTGGTACTGTCACATGTTCTCAAGCCGAGCAAATATTCTGAGGAATGCTTTAAGATTTCTTCCCATGTATCTCTTGATTGAGCACGCAATGGTTGTTTAAATCCAACTGCAACTGGGGTTCGAGAGTTTACAATGTCAAATAATCTGTCCACTAGTCTTACAAATTTAACAGTCCCAGATGAGTTTTGGAATTCTCCAAGTTTCATTGCTTTATCCAAAAATTCTATTGCGTCAGCCACAGACGAGCTGAGAGTTTGGGCTGCTAGTTGGACGTTCATTTTATGCTTCTCAACAGTAGATGTCTTGATGAAAACTTGTTTGCTAATGTGAAACCTTCCTTTTCTTTGATTTTAATGAGTGATGAAAATAGATTCCATGTAATCATATTGTTTTCAGAATCAACAATAGAGCCAAGGTGGGCTAAGGCATTTCTAGCCAATTTAAGCATGTGGCATGGATCCAGTATGGCATACACAACATAGTTCTCAGATGGGTGTTTAAAACTGGTGATCATGGTCTCATACGATGTTGTAAATACGCATCCAAGTTCACGGAACATGGTGAAGTTAACAGCAGTACCATCTGCTGTTACAGAATAAACACGTAATCCAGCTTGAGCCGCCATTATCAATGCTTCCTGGACTAACTTGGCCTGCATTTTCCCAGTCATCTTGTCAGTTAGAAAATGACCTATAGGACATTTCCAGTGACTTCTAGCTCCTACCAAAACAAATACTAGAGCTTCTGATGCAAATTGGTCTGGCTTCTCAGTAGGTATATGTCCATAGTCTATGAACCCCACATATTTATCATTTTTTGAGTCCCATAAAGTTTGCTTTCTAATTGACATTGCATCAATTATCAGACAACAGTCTCTCTTTTCTTGACTAACCAATGCTTCCTTTTTTAGGGATTCAAATGACTCTTTAAAGAATCCTGGATTACACTCAACAACACTGGACTACTTTCTAATAAGAGATGGCTGAGGTAATGGAACAATTGATCTTACATATTCATATGCCTTTTGGGAGTAATGACGTAGCGTTATTGCAAATTCTTTTACAACATCTGAATATCTCCGTCCGCGAGGATCACAGTTAGTGTTATTCTTTGCATCTCTAAAAATTGCGAGTTGTACCCCATTAAATTTGGCTGAAAGTAATTCAGCATCCTCGTGAGAGAGAAGTAGTTGTTGTTTCAAATCTTCTATGATATCTCCCATGGTCTGCTTTTTGCCATCCGTTCTTCTTAATTGTTGTTGCAAACCTATTTTTCTTTTTAGTTTATCCTACTTAGATTTTCTATCTTCTTCTAAATCCTCTATTGTGTTAGCATGTTTGCAGTTAGTATGATCATGGTTAACAACATCAAGATGTGATACAGTTCTCAAAGCTGCCAGGTTACAAGGTGACACTACCTTTTTTCTTATCTTTTTAGGGATGCCGTAGAGAGGGTTACTTGTTGAATTGAATATAGTTGGCACACCTGTTGGTTTTAATCTGCTGGTTCCATTTCCAGATGGGGGAATGATGTAATCTGATTGTGAAAAGTGGTTGCTGCAGATGCATGTATAATGTGTTGCTTTCCACTTTGGCAAAGTTGTTCACTTCGCATATTACCTTTTCCCATTTTTCAAGCAATTTTGGATTGCTCAAAGGGAATCAAAATATATGTATATTTAATTAATTGGTAATATGTGAATGGCATACCTATAAATGCATTGTTTATCATGTTTACTTTATGCTACAGGTTAGCATAATAATTAATTTAATTTACAAAAGTTGAAAACTAATGGCTAGTATAGACTGTATAGTTAAAGCAAATGATTTCTGTATTCATACAATTGCTAAAGTGCACAGATATTTGTGCCTAAATTTTGTCATTAAAAGTCTGTATTTATTTTTAATTGCAAACTTTACCTGTGAAATGCAACCTTTTTTTCATTGCTGCCTGGGTTTTTTCGTTTCTTTTTCACTGATTTTTGCTTACTTTCACAGCATGAAATTACACAAAAAATGGGCATGTTTTTTTTTCATAACCATGTCGAAAAACAGCTATTTTTCACTGCAATTTTAAAATATTATCGTAAATATTTCGCTTTGTTTACACTCTGGATCTCTAAAAAAGGATTGGGTCGAGTCAAATTTAGTATGGTTTTTAATTTTTCGCCAAAAATAACCACAGCAAGACCTTTTCCGTCCGACAGCATCAATTTCCAAGCTTGAAATTTATGTCACATAAAGTTGGTAGTGATTTACGTCCATTTAGGGGGGAAACTTTCGAGGTAACAGTCCCGTATCGTAAATATTGCGTAAGTTTAAACGCGCCGAAAAAAGTTCAACTTTCAACAGAAATAAAATAATCCCTAAAATTCATTTCCTGCCTAGAAAGTGTTTTCTTACTAAAGACCAGGTAAGGTTGAAGCTTTCTAGACTTTATTTAATTTCGATTGTTAGTTTAAGGTATGAGAATCATGCAACGAAAAGGGGGAGGGATTTCGACCTGTGACGTGCAACGGCGGCCACACTGAGCTATAATATATTCCTGGAGGACCGCTCCTAATGTTTTGAAATACAAAAAGTGAAGCAAAAAACATGGCGGATTTTGGCCTTTGCTGACGCCAGATTGACGCCACTGGTTCTTATTTGCAATGGTAGTTACCACTGACCAACCGCGATCCAAAGCATGAAAAAATGCTAGCACCCTCCTGGTTTTCGATAAAAACAGGATTTGGTTTTTACGAAATTTTTTGTTTTTGAACAAAAACATGTATTTTTTTCCTTTTTTGCTGGTTCTTTTCAACTGCAACAAAGAAGCAGCTATTTGCTCTGCTTGTTCCTACCGCAATTTACTCGTTAAAGAGGAAATTTTTGGCGATTTGCACTCAGGTAGAGTTTTAAAAAGGCTTTCGCAATTTTGATGTTTGAACTCTGAACGTCAAGTAAAAAATATAGCTTCGTAGTTCGACGGCTATGACAGATCGGAAAACAGAAATGATATATTTACTAACATTTAATTTGTTTAACTACAACATATTTCTATTAATACTTGTTTATCCATAATATTTTACACTGATTTGAATCCATGTAGTTGTGCCAAAACTCAGGTGTAACCAGATCAATCATCAATGTGTCTATAGCCCATCTTTTGATGAAAAATCATACAAGATATATTAGATCAAAGCATATAAAGGATGCAATAGGAACAAAAATATAATCTGAAGGAGCAAGGTCTGAGAATAACTTGCCTAAATTCACCCACACCTCCAACTGAGGCATCATCATGGCACACTAAATTATCTGTACTAATTTTGTAAACCTTACAGGGTGTATTATAGATACAGTTAATCTCTGACATATCTTTCTTTTTGCAGGGACATAACATAGGGTTTGGTAGATCAAGTGGAGGCATATTATGCAAAATTCTGGAGAACTAAATTGAGACAACCATACTATTATACCCATGAACTACACACATTCTTAAATACAGAAACTGTTTTATTATTTTTACAAATTACAATGTTTTATTAAAAGAAAATAAATATTACAATTGGTAAGGCTTTGTTTTTTCATTTCCAAAGAACCTTTCCAGTCATTGTAGGCTAATCTGGGAGAAGCTGGTAAGCCCCTTTTGCATATAATCAATAATAATTACCATGGCTATCTTAGCCTATAAACATCCCTGGTTCTAATCTTCCTTAATGCAGCCTCTGCATTATCATTTGCAAATATAGAAAAGCATATGACCTGCACAGGGGCCATAATTATTGGTTTTATACCATGGAAAGAGCATGGTCTGTGCAGTCAGACAATTATAGTGCTGACCACTGCATGGTGCTGACTGCTGGAAGCTTTCAATTTAATAGTTCATCCTTATAGGTTTAAGCTAATAAGCTCATCAATATACATGATATATGCTGATATAGTTCAGTACAGAAAAACTATTTCTTCTGGCTAATGAAATCCAGCTAAACAAATAGGCAGGCTACCTTAAGGTAATCTTTTTAGTAGTTGTTCAAACTTCAAACTATACATTTCACTTCTCGTGCTGCCGTCTTTTGGTCAAATATTAAAATATATAAACAACGACATCTATCTAAAGACTGTTAACGAAAAAAAAATGGTGAAATTTTATCTAAAAATGAAATTTATGAATAATATATTTACCTTTAAGTCAACTGCATTTTCGTTTCGGCAAATTTCTTGAAGTTTTATGATTTATCTGTTATTTCTTTCCTGTTTTTGACAGAAGTAACGTGTATACGACTTTGCTATCTTCACAAAAACGTCAAACATATCTGATCAAAAAGTTTTCAGTTCAAAAATATCGACTGACGTTTAAATTTTTTTTGGAAACTATAATAATGAGAACTGAATACTATTTTTAACAAAAACCAGGGAAGAGTGCATATGTAGCGGGCTCAGAATTGAGCCTTAGTCAGTGGTAACTACCATGGCGAATAGGAACCAGTGGCGTCAATCTGGCGTCAGCAAACGCCGAAATCCGCCATGTTTTTTGCTTCACTTTTTGGTCGCGGGCCGGTCCTCCAGGAATTATATTATAGCTCAGTGGGCGGCCATCAGTCTGGCTTCAAGATGGCGGCGGAGTTATCGTTCCAGTTGTATTGAGTTCACTACACTGAGCTATAATATAATTCCTGGAGGACCGGCTCCACTCAGCTATATAATAATTCCTGGAGGACCGGCTCGTGATTTTTCAGTAACTTCGCCGCCATCTTTTTGAAGCCACCAACATGGCGGATTTCGCCCTTCTGCGCAACCGCATAAGCTTTGCTGACGCCACTTGGTTCCTTTTGACCATGGTATTTACCACTGACCAGGCTCAATTTGAGCCCGCTACAGCAATATTCTCCCCCCTGGTTTTTGTAAATAACAATTCTCCCGCCTGGTTTTTATATTTTTTTTTGCCGTGAAATCTTTTTTGTTTTTGAAATGTTTTTCGGTTGTTTTTTTTATATTTTTCGCACTGACATACAATAAAGTTTTATTTTAAGATGAATACAAGTCATACACGCTATTTTTTAGCCAGTGCGGAAACAAATATATTAAAATATGGAAAAATGTGGACAAACTAAAGATTTTAATACTGACACGAACTGACAGGTTTATTTTATTTTCGTAATAATATTTTTGTTATTTATACATTCCAATATGAGAGTTTACAAATGTTTGAATGTTTTGGCACTATCCTCGCATATTTTGAAGACAACTAGGAATTTATGGGCAACAATTTGACTTTTCTAAACCCTGAACTGATGAATTGCAGGAAGTATGTAATCAGTATTCAGTATGTGATGTTGTCTTCAAGACTTTATACCTATGCACAATACAAAATCCAAAGAAACAGAGGCCAAAGCTCAGGCAAAATGCTGGGCAGCTGACTAATACTTAGTGCAGCAATATAGTTTCAACCAAGAATCATATTTGCATAATATACTTTTCATTCAAGTCATCAACTTGTACCCTAATAAACCTTAATAGGCTTTAAAAGTTTTCAGCATTCTCTAATTGCATCCCTGGACCCTTGGTCATAGTAAAGAATAACATTTATCCCTCCATAGGCTCCACTGATTAGCCTAATGAATATAACCCCTTTGGAGGTTGATACCATAAACAGAAAATTACAAAAGTTGCTGCAGATTAAAGACACACTGCTCAGGCAATGCATGTTTATATTTATTTCATTAATTAATAAATATGACAAATGGTATATGAAAACACCAGCCAACAACAAAATCAGATAACATGGAAATGAAGAATAACAATGCACAGTCATAAAATGCATGAACTTTATCCTGAAAATAAAAATGGAGATATGATCAAGATTAATTTATTCACAAGGTACAAGAAGCTAAAAAATAAATTAAGAGCTGTGACAATTGATCATTTCACTTTGGATTTGACAAGGTAAACAAGATAATATATTAACTAGGCTTTAACAGGGCTCACTATCAGAGGTTGGAATTTTACACTGTTTACAGCAACTTATTATTTTGTATCAGCACCCTCAGATCATGTTAATTGATGTTGGGTGGGATCAATAGAAGAGTGACTATAGTAGACTCACTGGGGGAATGGTTTACCTATTAACATTGATGTTTGCTATCATGAAAACAACTTAGACCAAACTCAAAAGATTGACACTGCCAGGAATTTTAACTTTCCCCCGACACAAGTTAAGAAAATATGATAAAATTTGGGTATATAACATTGCATTGACAGCACTGTAATTTACCAAAGGCTGTTTGTACGACACGTTTTGATGGATTTATTGTCTCAGAGGCTTTGGTAATCAGTTTATACTATAGTCCAAACTCGAAGGCCAAAAACGAAATTGTTTATAGTAAAAAAAGTTGAAAAACGGCTTACCTGGATTTTATAATATAAGGGCAAAATGAGAAAATTCACTCTACCGATAAGTGAATTAAGCCATTCACAACGTCAGACGCAGAGCACGAAGCTACGTGTCCTTTCCATTTGTTGAACAGGGAAAAGAGAAACGCTTTTATCCATTTTATATGAAAAACAAAGAAATATATACGGAAAGCTGAAAATATTTTCGTAAAAATCGGGAGGGTGATGGACACAGTTTTTCACCTTTCGCGGTATGTCAGTGGTAACTACCATGAGCAAAAGGAACCAAGTGGCGTCAGCAAAGCTCAAAATCCGCCATCTTAGTGGCTTCACTTTTTTGACAGGAGCCGGTCCTCCAGGAATTATTATATAGCTCAGTGACCGGCTCCTAATGTTTTGAACACTGAGCTATATAATAATTCCTGGAGGACCGGTTCGTCATTTTTCGGTAACTTCGCCGCCATCTTTTTGCACAAAAAAACATGGCGGATTTTGCCTTCTGCGCAGTGCGCAGAAGTTTTGCTGACGCCATATGGTCCCCTTTGCCCAGGGTAATTACCACTGACCAGGCTCAAATCTGAGCCCGCTACAAGAGATGCTCCCCCCTGGTTTATCTAAACAACAGTATTTCCCCCCTGTTTTTTTTATGAATATCTTTTTTGCCGTGAAACATGCTGGAAACCTGGTTGTTTTGTATTTTTCGATTTATTTTTGTGCTACAAAGCGTTGCAATAAGGCGTTTATTTCAGTTCTATACAATCGTGGACGCTGTTTTGCCAATGCCAGAGAAAATTAATATTAAAACGTAAAAAAAATTGTGGACGAAGGATTTTTATGTACAATTAGCTGACAGGTTATTTTATTTATTTTAATATTCATTTTCATTATTCATACATTCCTGTATAAAATTTTTGAAAATACTTTAATATTTTTCGAGTCTTGTCAGAAATTTGGATTATCTTTCGGATATCAATCGGCGACTAAAGGTTAACGGCAGAAAATATGTTGTTATGCGATGTTTTCCTTCGAACATCATGCTTATGCATATCAGCCCATAACTCAAGGAAAAAAAGGCCAAACCTCATGCAAGATGCTGGGCGGCTGATTATATAGTAATAGTACTTCAAAACATATTTGCATAGGATATTTTCATTCAGGTCATTATAGCTAGCCAGTTACCAACATGAGCTCCACTTCTAAATTTATTATATCAATAAATTCTTAAACACATCCGAAATTACTAAAACAATAATTTCGCGACGCGTGGCCGAGCATTATGAAACGGAAAGAAACTGGGTCAAAACCAGTGAACTCAAATAAAACTGGAACGCTCACTCTATGACTTTCCCTCATTGATGAGTGAAGCCAAGATGGCGGATCATGAAGCCTTTCTTGTAGGTATGATCCAGGCCTCTGGCGCGGAAACTTCAAAGGAAAAATCAGAATTCCCGACAAAATTTCCGCGTGGAGGCATGGATCATACCTACAAGAAAGGCTTCATGATCCGCCATCTTGGCTTCAAACTTCCGGCAGAGTGAGCGTTCCAGTTTAATTTCAGTTCACTGGTCAAAACCAACTCAAATCTTTCACAATGGCGGAGAATTTTGAAAGGGCTGCCAATGCTCGCAAGAAGAAACTCCCTTCCATGGATTGTCTTATTAGGCAAGGTAATGATATTTTAGAAAAGCGAAAAAAGAGAAGAAAGCCTATTCATTATGAGTATAGCACGGATCCAAAAACTGGCCAACGGAGTTGCAAAAATACTTACAATCCAAAGTATTATAATCGCGATGATACCGCCTCTAGTTCAAGATCAAAAAACTTAGAGGAACACAGCGATAATATTTTCCAAGGTATGCTTCTGTTTGTAACATTTTACACAGAACCTACGCCAGATAGGTCCCATCATTCGGATGATTTATTATTTTGTCACTTTTTACGTAGAACAAGAACCACCAGAAGTAAGTTTATTGGATCGTGAATCAGATATGGATGTAACGACAAACGCTGTAGAGGGTATGGATCTAATAAATATGTACAATTACAACAGCTAAAAATGCTGTGAAGTTTTTAATCCGCTTTGTTGACATTTTGAACCGCTATTGTAAAATATGATGTGCTAAAAGTCAATATTTATTATCTAAACAAGTTCGTATAGCTTTGTGTCCTCTGTGACTACTGACTAGACATTATACACATGCTGCCACATTGCTAGATTGGCTGTGTGCAGGGAAGATTGTGACTCATCATTCACACATATTGCAAACTTTCCAATATGGATACTGTTTATGCATTTATATATGGAATTTAAAGACCCTGCTACTTTACAAAACTTGGTTTATCGAATGTATATTAAACTTAATGTGGTAATATGGTGTACAATGATTTTGTGGCATTCTACCTAGCAGCTCATTTTTAAGCAGTATCATCGATTTTGTTTAGATGTGACAATGAATGATATCCTTGAAGAAGCAAAAGGATTATTATGTAACTGGAAATGTGGTGGTCAGCAAAAAAACGAACCTGGCATGAAAGACAAAATTCCCTTTATGAAAGCTGGAGGAAGTCAGAAGTAGTTTAATCGAAGTTTTGCTGCAAACTAAATTTTCCATTGGCATTTTTGATGAATTGTTATGCGAAAGCTGTAAAGATGGCCATGGCAGTTATTGGATGTCAAGACTGCATTTCACATAGATATGTCTGTGGGGATTGTGATGAGGAGAACCATAAGAACCATCCATTTCATGATCGAGATGCAATTTTGAATGGTTTTCATGAACCTATTCCTCCAACAGCCTCAATTAACAGCAAACTGGAATGGATTACTGTTGGTAAATATTATAGCATGGCTAAAAAGATGTAACTTATACCTTGTGTCAAAAGGTGCATTGTGACCGTGATACTCTCAAGATGCTCTTTAAATATGAAATTTAGCATGATCTATTTAGCATTTATGTCAAACCTAAAGTTCATTTTACATGAGTAAATATTCATTGGCAAATTTTCTCATAAAAAATTTTATTAGGTCTTTTTCAAATAAAGAAACACAGAAACATATTTGTCACATGAAATTTGTAAAAAAAATTGACCAGTCAGTATTATCTTTGTATTATCTCAGCATCTTTGTGAAACTCTAGGTGTGAGATAATGTTTTCCCTTGGTAGGAAAGTTCTGCCATTTTTAGAGGGTTCTTCAAACAGTTTCTGAAAATATATGAATTGTCTATGTATTTTTTAGAACGGTCCCTTCCATTTGGTGATGTTATTGTCCCACATGCCTATTTCCTTGCAATATTTTATATGATGAGAAGGGTATGGGTTGCATTGCTGTAACATTGAAAGGTATGCTATTTTAGTTGTCTTTTTTATTCACAAAAACATTGTCTTTCTGAAATAGATTCTATAGTTTTATACTGTAGCTATAAATGATACATTATGTAGGCTGAACCTAGCTCCTGCAAGATTCAAACCAGATGATGCTATTCAGATAGGCTTTATAGGCCAAATGTTGATCTCTATCATGGAACTCAAAACTTATATTTTTGTGCTAATTGGTTAAATATTTATTATTATATCTTCAGGTAGATTCGACATTAGTCACACAAAATATGAATGTAAACAATGTGACAATGTTATTTCATCAACCCCATGTTTTAATACAGCTGGGGTTTTGGCCTGGAACTATTCGTGACATGACATATGTATTTCACCAAGATCTCTTTCATTTCTGGGATAATTTACAGAAGATTGTTCCTGGAATTTCTCAAAATAGTTTTGTGAAATCACTAGAAATGTTTTCGATACAAAAAGGGCGGGTACGTTTAAACCAACTTCTAAGTATCAACTTCAATGTATCGCTTCATGCAAAAAATGGAATCCTGTTCTTTTATGATTATGTTTGCTAATTGCCTCAGTAGTTAAATAGTTGTACAGATATTAGTTTGATGTATCTTTCTCTATCTTTTATATAGATGGGAACAATTAACAGCAAAACATTTGGTAGCTCTTTTCGTGAATGGAAATATTGCCAATATGAATTGAACAAACTACGGCATATTAACTGGATGGAGTGCCCTGCATGTGAACAGCAGCAACACTCCGTTCACATGGATGGTAACATGAAACTTTATCGGTACAAATCTGCTGGGATGTAAGTACATTTTGTACACTGAATCACAGACGATGCATTGCAGGAATGCACTAGCTTGGAGGGAAATCGTCAGCTCATATACAACTGAAATGCGTCTTGTATATCACCTAGAAAGAGTTTCAAAGTTATTTCATCATATGTATGTTTTAAAGAGGATAAATTGAAATTATTTAGCAGGAAAAGAGATTGCTACTATGGAGATGCTTTTATTGCTTCAAATGAAAAAGTTCAACATCATCTCTGTAAAATTTACAAAAAAGGAAAGGAAAAGGTATTGTTACAATTTGTCTTCTCAAACAATACGAATTTTCGTTTACCTCAAAACAATTATAGAACAATAGTCCCATTAAATATCAATGTGTGACATTTGGTGTGGGAAGTTTCTGACCGTAATGCTATGATTTGTAACAAATATTTAGATTATTTTTATACCAAGTGGATCTACTGTACGTATAAAAATAATCTAAAATCGAGCTGTTTCAATTCGGCTATACTTTACCCTAGGTCACAGATGATTCTAAGTGTGGCGATTCTATTTGGCATGCTGCTGGAAATACTTTGAAGAAAAAGAAAATTGTTGATGAAACTGGGCTAGAAATTGCTGGCTGTCGTCACAGTGTTGCCCAGCATGCAGTTAGCATGAAGCACGGAGAAGTGTATGGCTATGCACATTATATGCAAAAGGAATATTACCTTCGTCGTACAACACAATTCTTCTGGTATGATGTCATCTGCAAGTATTGGCCTTGGCTGTGTAAAAATGATGTAACCACATCTCAAAAGATGAAACCTGCTCTTTCCGTAATGCATGCCAAAGCACATGCTTGGTATTGCCAGGTAAATTTCCTTGTGCTTATTATATTTCGTACGTGGCAAGTGTGCAGTCAAGTGCAGTGTCCATTGTGTAATCTTTTTTGCAGGTTATTTGGGGAGGGCGATGGCAAGATGGCGCTTCTGCAACAACAGGAGAGGAAGTAGAACAGATTAACAGTCATTTCTCGCGGTTAGGGTGCACTACCAAGCATATGTTACCTGAAGGTAAGCATGTGCAATAAAATTATCAAACCAGTTAAACGTTTAATTCTGATGTATGCATACATAGGACGAGAGGAATTGCTGACTGAACATGCACTGGAGTGGAATAAAAGAAAAATAACCAAACTGTCAAGTATTCTTGCGAAAAGATATACAAAAGTTATTAATTTTTCTATTTTTTACCTAATAGTAATAGTAACTATACCATAACAAGGGAAACCATAACAAGGGAAATTTCGTTTTAGACCAATCAGTAAGTTTGTTTACATTTTCAGTAACCCAATCAGAATAATCATCATTTTACATGATGTATTAAAAATTTAGGCATTCTGATTGGCTTAGCCTAAAAAGTGTAAGCAAATATGCCGAATAGTTTAAAACGAAATCCCCCCTTGTCACATAACATAGCTACAAATACTTTGCCAAATCCGTTTCGGTAGTTTTCGTCAAAAAATAAGACAGAAACAAATTTATTAAAAAAAAAGGTGTGGGTAGAAATTTAAAGCGTGGAGGATTGAAAAATATGTAGATGCAATGCAAATTTCCCATGCACGGAAAGGGGAGTACTGAAATGTATAATCTTCTCTTGGAAAAATAATAATGTGTTCTGTACTTTTATATGCATGGTTCTAGGCTAAAGATAAAACCGCCATCATGCAGAAAGAATTAGAAAGCATGTCAGAGAAACTTGAGTGTGATCCAACAACATTACAGAAATGGAAAGAAGATATATTTGACGCTGCTAAACGTACGTATAGAATTTTGTGTAGTTTTGTTCAGTTTACATGCAGTACATGATACTGTGGCGAATCTATTATTATAAATAATAAAACTAAAAACGTTAGGTATGCTCTTCTCAGAATGCGATGTCTTGGTGTAATTTTTTCGTGCAATGACGACGTGTTTCTTTTTTCTCTTTCAAATTTATGTCAGTGGATGAAAAATCGAGAAATAAAAGATATTCCATAACTCCGGAGGAAATGAAATACATATGTCATTTGCTCACATTAGATGTGTTAACGCCAAAAGAGAAGGCCTTGTTTGACGTTGCTGAAAAGATTTATAAGGAAAAATCTAAACAGTTTCAGCCCAAGATCTGTCGCAATTATTCCTTTGGTGAAGGTGTTTTAAAAAATAAATCTTTGGAATATTTGAGATACAATATGGAATTCCATCATAACGCGATCTCTCATCTGGCATTTAACATTGCAAAACTTGCAGGTGGTTCTACATTTAATAGCTACATTTTCAGTGTCTCTTCCTTTATTTCAGTAGTAACATTTAAAGCCAACGTTTCCGTGCGAGTAAAACACCCATAAAAAACGAAACCGCGGAAAATTAGCCTCCACATGCGGGATAAAGGGAAGGTAACATTTTAACCAAATATTATTTTCTTCAAGATTCTTCGAAGCAACGAAATAAGTTAAGGAGAAAGATCAGCAAAGAGAAAGAGAGTATCCATTCTTTGATTTCAAATTATAATCGAATTGCAGACGAACCGCTAAGCAACATAGAAGAAATTTTAAATGGAAAGTTTCCATGGAATTCTTTCCATGGACTTGCATGATGAACAGTTTATATATTCTAACAACCATGCAGTGATTTTGGTGGAAAACACATTAAATTAACCAGCAATTTGTCTCTTAAAGCATCATTTTCGCCTCTTAAGTTTGGCGCAGAAATTACCTTCAACCCATTTTATAGAAATGACCTTCTATCCATTTTCTTCCACGTTGAAAGAAAATTTAGAAGAAATGTTTAACATTGTTTTTGTTGAAAAAAAGAAGTCAAAAATCTTCAAAAGGAATCACACATAGATTTATTCACCCTTGCGTACTCCCGGGCGCTCTCAGGCTCTCAGCTGCTCCCGGGCACTCTCGGGCGGTATTAAGGACTTTCACAGGAAACTCGAAAGGGGTGCAAAAATTAAAAATGCACAAAATAACCTAAGAGGACCATTGTTCATCACAAGCTGTCTGACAATGTAGTTTTTGCTCCAAAGCCAAGGAATTTTTGAATTTACTTTATCTTTGGTGTGAGGTGCTAGCAAATAGAATAGGAATAATATTGTATTGCACATATGCTTGTCCGTCATAACATTTCGTATTTACCTTCAATGAATTTTCTAAATAAATTGAGTGCTACTCGACCACCTTCGGAAGTCTCTATGGTACTTTTGTTTCCGATGAAAGAAACTCCAGCTCCTTCCGTTCCATAGAAAGTTAACGTATCGCCACTTCCATGCTTGTGATGCATTAAAATGACAATATCACAGTTGTTGTGGATGTTCAGAATATCAGCCTAAATGAAAAACAGCGAAATGTGATTTTGCTTTATATAGTAACACAATAATACTCTACACTATATACTGTATAGCTATGTAAATTGTTCAAATTTGATTAGATATAACTACAGTGGAATTAGTTTTTAACAACAGGAGAAATTGCAATTATCACTCGTTCTTCGGATTCGTACCCTTTTATAGCCTTCGAGACACTAAGGGGCTGTTTACATGGTCCCACTTAGCCGGGATTTAACGAAGCATGAGACGACATTGAGGCATTGAAATGAGTATATAACATAATATCATGTGCTTGTTTGGTTTCATAAAGACTTATTTCAATACCTCATAACAATCTCACACTTCGTTGAATCTCGGGTAACCAGGCTCATGTAAACAGCCCCTAAAAAATAGAGGATCTGCACAGTCATGTGACAACTTCCTAAACTCTTGGAAGTGAAACCAAAACTGGCTGTTCAACTTATTTTGCATGTGCGTCATACGCAATATCCTCACTACACAGCTTCACTTCCAGGACATGACTGTGCAAAAATTCTAAATTGCACTCAAATCATACTTTGAGATATCCCAGCTTGGACGCTGTACTGTAAACATACTCGTTTTTCCATGTGCTTCCTTTGTTGCGTAATGTTCGGATTGCTCATATTTTTTAAAGCATCCAAATTCTTCTCTTTTGTTGGAAACCTCAAAGAACAACCTTGGTTCTTGCAAACCTTTTTTGCAATCCCTTGTTCCAGTCCACACCCAGAGCATCTCTAGGTAATTATTATGATTCTTTTATTTTAATTAGTTGGCAAGTGTAGTAAGAGAGGGGGTTTAAATACCACATCTATTTATTTTATTTTTGGGTTAGCTAAAAACTTACAAATAAGGAACTGCATGTTACCTAAGAACTATTTGATAAAATACACTGTTCATTTTCAGGTAATGTTGGCAAACTGAGCACAATAATCACGTGCCACTAAATGGTTTTACACAACATTTGCTGTTAGTCATTAGATAAAATCACAGCCCTTGTATATGAAACATGAGTGGTAAAGAATTACTTCATTTCAGGTAAGAATGCCAATGGCAGTTGCAGGTGACTTAACACACTAATTTGCATTGCTCAATGATATGCCTAATTGTACTTTAGTTGTTACAGCTAAATTCATCAAAACCTAAGTCTGTCTGATCATGATTTTGAAAAAAACCCCACTCTTGTTCATATCTTGTAAAATACTCTTGTGTTAGACAGAGTCAATAAGTAGCTGCATGTTTTAAAAGCCAATAAACTTGATAATGCATACATAGGTTTTGGGGGCAATGGTACATGTTGTGCTATACTAAATTTACTTGGGTAATTTTAAATTGGGTAATACTCAATTTTACCCAATGCAAATCTGAGAAAAACTGCACACACTGTACAGTTGCATACTAGACTTGCTTGGCACTTAGCTGGATTCATCAGTCGTAGCAAATTAACATAATAAAAACTTACTTTCATCCCTTTTTTAAGACAGGTGTTGACTGTAATTGAATCTAAAAAAACATTTATATTTAATGTGGAAAATAAGTTTGTTATGAACGATTAGTGTAGATTCACCATTTTGCTTCAAAAAGATTATTGGGGTCTTAGGATCATATAAAAGTTATTTATGAAATTATTTTCCATTTGCATGCAAAATATACAAAAGTTCATAGTAGCCATAACATTTTTAAGCTTAATTGCTCGGTAGTAGCTGTAACATTTTTAAGCTTAATTGCTCTTCAGTAATTTGTCTTTTGCTTATCCCTTAAATTGCAAATAACAAGGGAATCTTAATCTAATATATTAATTGCCATTACATTCAGAAACCGTAAATTAAGAAAAATTTGATGGTCAAATAATTTATATTGTCATTGATAACTTAGGAAGGAACAGTATATACATAATAGAGGATCATATGTTTGCTAAACATCCCAAATTTGAAATTTCTGATCGCAGTCATTCACAGAGGTATTGGTATAAACGTATAAAAAATATAATCTGTGGCGTTACTACACGAAAATTGCACTTGGCACCACGGAACACAGTATATAAGTGCTGACATTCTGCGTTAAGACTGAACTTCTATCTACTAAAACGAATGCTAATAACGATATTAAATTATATAAAATCATCAGCTGTTAATAAATGGGCTTTTCTGACACTTCGCCGAGGATAGCCATCAATGATCAATCCATGCATTATTGTCTTAAAAATAACAACGTTTTATATCAGAAAGCTGAGTTAATATCACAATCTCGCTTTGTCACTCGTTAAAATACAAACAGCGGAATTAAAATGATAATGCTAAAATATTCAAATATGCAAATAAACGATAACTTACCCACGCACAGTGAACTTCCCGCGCATTCCTCGCTTTCCGCCATCTTGCTCGCGCTACATTAATTTAATCACCAGGCTGTATCGCCAATGGGCGCACTCGGCCACGCGTCGCGAAATTATTGTTTTAGTAATTTCGGATGTGTTTAAGAATTTATTGATATAATAAATTTAGAAGTGGAGCTCATGTTGCCAGTTACCCCTATCTTACTGTATCCCAAGACCCAAGTAATTAATGGACTTTCAAATGATTCCCTGCTTGACTCAAGGATTTGATATGGAATCATTTTCCAGATAATGCAAGGAAAGGCTATGGTAAATAAAAAAATTATTATGGTACCAAGAAGATTGTGGTACTAGTTGTGCTATTAAACAAATGTCTCATGAATTCATGATAATGCAACTGAGCCTATTCATTCCTCTATTAGTCTTTAATCTAATAACTTTCAATTCCTGATTAGCCCCATGATAATATTCCTTTGAATGGTGGGGATGGTAAAACTGTCCAGAAAATTATAAAAGTTGCTGCAAATTGAAAACAAACTCAGTCAATGCATGTCTGTATAAATTTATTTTCCATTTAAATAACCATCTTAACTATAAATAACAAAGTCAACATTGTAAAATTAACAGTTAAATGTTCCAGTAATTTGCAAAAAAGCCATCCCCAAATTTAATAGCATCTTCATCCTAAAAAGAGAGATCAGACCAAGTTTAACTGTACTCTATAGAGTACACCCAGAGGCAGAGCCAGAGGGGAGTAAAACCATTATATTGCAAATTAACAATCAAGCTTGTAGCTTGATCAACAAGGTGCAAGATGCCAAGAAGTCTATTAAGCCATGATTATTGACTTTGCATTTGACAAGGTAGACAAGATAACATACTAGACTTTTAACAACCACTGTTGAAATCTGACAGAAAAATATTTTGTATCAGCACTCACACAGTCATCATGTTTAATGTTTTAAATTAATCAAAAATAGACTAGAAAGGATCAATAGAGAGACTAGTAGATTCACTGGGAGGATTGAATATTGATTCATCTTAATTGTTTGACTGAAAATACTCATGAATTGGCATTAAATATGAGTGAAAGCTCCAGTGCAAATCCCATAAGAGTTCTATTCAAAAGCCAAAACATAGATTAAAAACTCAAAAGATCAGTTATTGATCCTTTTCATAAAATATAGTTTTTCATAGCGTAACTAAGTCATGTACCATTGATCAAAAAGGCTGCACTCTGCAGCATATTTGCCGTTTTTAACATTAATTTCAAAAGAAATAACTGCAACAGACGCTTTGGTAGTTGTCTATACCAAAGGCGAAAAACGAATATATTATGAAAACCGGCTTACCTGAGGTAAAAATTAATACCCCGATAGGTGAATTAGGCCATTCACAGCATCATATGTAGAGCAAGAAATCACTTCTCCATTTAACTTGTTGAACAGTGAAAAAGAGTCTTTTTAGATGAAATGCGGAGAAAATATATGCCGAAAACAATACCGAAAACCGAAAATATTTTCATAAAAATCGGGAGGGTGATGGACACGTTTTTGACTTTGTATCGCGGTATGTCAGTGGTAATTACCATGGGCAAAGGGGACCATGTGGCGTCAGCAAAGCTGAAAATCCGCCATTTTTTTTGGTACGCTTTTTTGTGGCGAGCCGGTCCTCCAGGAATTATTATATAGCTCAGTGGTTTTGAAATACAAAAAGTGAAGCAAAAAACATGGCGGATTTTGGCCTTTGCTGACGCCAGATTGACGCCACTGGTTCTTATCAGTGAACTCTAATAAGACTGGAACGATAACTTGGCCGCCATCTTTGAAGCCAGCACTGATGGCCGCCATGAAGGCCAAGCTACAAAAATATGACAAATTTTAAACGCATTTCCCTCCTCTTGATTTTGTGTTTTTGAGCCAGCTAAAAGCTAAAAATCATCGCGATAGATTGAAGTTTTATGTATCAGAACTCTCCAGAAGGCCCAGTAAGGATTTAAAGGATATTTTGGGCGCTAAAAATGAGAAACAGCTTCGGCAAAAACTTTGTCGCGAAATAACTTCCTTCCAGGACTGGTACCTATAAAGTTTCGACAAGAATAAGAATGAAACTATGGAGCACTTTAACATATTTGTCATTGAGTACATAAAATGCAAAAAAACCTGCTAAAAAAGCAATTTTGCGTGTTTTTTTGCTTGAAAACTTTGTTTTCATATAAATAACCCCGTCCCAGGCCTTTTCGGGTCTTCTGACGCGATTAATTCAACCACAATTTTGACAGATTTTTTGTCCTTTTTGGTCTATATGGAGAAAATTATTAAAGATTATTTGAAAAATGTAATAAAAAAAACAGCAATGCCCTTTAACTGTGTGATTTCCAGTTGCAATAACCGGCAAAAAACAAAATATTTACGAAGGAAATAAGAAATTTATGTAATGTGATTTTATAAATAGACTACTAAGGCAAGGTGTACCCCAAGGGGATACGCCTTGCCGACGATAATTAAAAATCTTATATTATGGCTTTGCGTCCAATCTAAAAGACCGACAGGTAATGGATGGCCACGCAATATGGGAAAGATGGTGAATGGCCAGCAAATCGAAAAACTAACAAAGACCGAATACCCAAACCACAAACAGTCAGTTTAAGCGTGACATCGCAAAAGACAGAGCTCCTTTAAAGTTGAAAGGTATTTACAGAAGTGTTATATTTGTTTTCTATATATATTTATATATAATATAGCATATACATATAGTAGCTACGAATACACAATGGTACCCCCAAAAGTTTTGGTCCTGGGACACTCATTTGTTCGTCGCCTACAGTGCGACCTGAAACGTAAGCGGGATATTCGCATGTGCCCGACCTTTAAACTCAAGGGCACAGCGAGAGTTTATCTACACGGTATAGGGGGTAGAACAGTGGAGAAGATCCGCAAATTTGATTTAGGGTTAGTTTCTCGGTGTGCCCCAGATATTGTTATTCTGGAGATAGGCACGAACGATTTGTCCGCTTTAAGGCCCGAAACAGTCGGTTCACGCATTGACGACTTGGTTGCTTTAATGCTAGATCAATATCGCGTAAAATTGGTATGCGTATGCCTGATTTCCCCGCGAACGAACAACCCTCTTTTTGAAAAGCAGCGTTTAATGCTAAATAATTACCTACAGGTAGTTTTAGAGAAGGTCCCGAGAGTGTTTTTATGGACACACCATGGCTTCATACGACCTTCCGTGACGCCATTTCTACCTGACGGGGTACATTTTAATAGATTCGGGCAATATAAATTATACCGAAGTTATCGGGGAGCAATTCTTCAAGCAATTAAAATGTTATAAAATTCTTTCTCCTATATGACTATTATATATATACAAGCTGCATGTCGTACGTTACATTTACTTTTCTATAACCTTGAAATTTGACAAACTTTACTCGTGATTACTTCTTATGAAGCGCCTTAGCGCCTTTATCTATTCTATCTTTATCTCTTATCTATATGAGAGTTCTCACACTGTTTGTGATTTTGTTGGCCATATGATGAACGGTGCGGCGATCTTCGGATCTGCCATGTTCATCCTGCTGACGTTTGACTTTGTCTTTATCTCTCATCTATATGAGAGTTCTCACATGTTTTGTGAGTTTTTTGTTGGCCATAGGGTGAATGGTGCGGTGATCTTCGGATCTGCCATGTTCATCCTGCTGACGTTTTATAATCATTCTTTCACACATTCCAACTTTCAATTACGACAAAATTAATAACGAACGAATCCTCACTATTGAATGTTCACCTTACGGGGGATAGTTTTATTTCTCGCACAACGACAAAAATTTGGGTACGGTTGCTTTACTATCTTTAACTCATCACGCCATAAGTATCTATTTCTGCTTTTAAAGTTTTATTTTTTAGAATGCCACCCGTGCGTCGTTCTAAGCGGGTCGCCGCTCCATCAGCCGTTTAGCGAGAGTCTGTTCAGAACCAACCAACAACATCTCGCCGAACTCGAAGTTCGCCCAATGCTGTATCTGTTGGTGCCACCCCGTCAACGTCAACTGTGCCCGTGAGTGATGTGGCTTTGCCCTCTTTCGAGTGAGCTTATCTCAACACTGGTGTCTTCGGTTACCGAGGCAGTCACGCAAAAGTTAGCTGGCTTCTTACCAACCTCTGCGTCTTCAACATCCACAATGGCGTCTGCCCCAACAGATTCTACCTCTGGAATCGAAATCTCAAACCAGGGTCCCAATGCAGATTCTCTGGTCAACGACGCGCTCACGTCCATACAAGAAAACCTTACAGGTCAGACCACTCCTTTTTCTCTTCCATGTTCAAGTGCTTCGGGTCCACGGGAATCGTTCCACTCTGCCGCTTTGCCTCTTGATTCGCGGATTCCGGATAAAATAAAGTTTAAAATATGGAATGAGGAGTTTGTCGATATAAGTACTTTGTCAGGTGGCCCAGACGCGGCCGCTAAATACGAGATTAGTGTACGGACCTCTGACAACGGTCAACCTGCTTCTCTTCTTCTTGAGCCGGCTGCGAAATCCAAAAGGGTCAAAACTATTAGCGATTGGCTTCGTTCGTTTCATATTTTTGTTTCCATTTATACACAACGGTACCCTCATGAGTCCCCCGCGCTCATGAAATATTGTCAAATCATCCAGGATTTGGCCAATAGGGGTCATAATTGGTTTTACTACGATGAGAATTTTCGATTTTTGCGCCAAACACAGGCCACGCGCGTTCCCTGGGCGACCGTTCACTGGGAGTTATGGTTGAAATCTCAATATCCCACTACGTCTAAGCCGAACCCGCAAGGCAACAATTATACGCGCCACCCTTCAAAGGTGTCTGTTCCTCGGGGATATTGTTTTAAGTTTCATCGCGGAACGTTTTGTGCCGGTTGTGATTTCAAGCACATTTGTTTTAAATGCAACGGATCGCACCGTGCCGTGAATTGTAATTTTCGTGCCAACAACAGACCATCTCCCACTGATCGATCGCCTAAGCCTATTTCAACAAAGTCCGTTGCCAACACCCGTAAAACTTCATAATTTACAAATATTGTTAGAAGGTTATCATCCAAGTATTGTTGATACACTAATTTCCGGATTTACTTCGGGTTTTCGCATTCATTTCTCTGGCGCAGAACAGTCGTTTGAAGCAAAAAATTTACGGTCTGCTCTTGACAACCCAGAAGCGGTTGACCAAAATTAAC